TGGCAAGAATATTTCCATTTCTTCGACTTGCAATTTATCTTACCAGCTGGAACATGATAACATAGCGCTTGCATTTGGCACAAACGTACATCGAACTAATCAGTGAAGTTCTCTTCGTCATTATTTACGACCCTGACTTCATTTCCCAGAAAAATACTAGTACGAAAATGTCTGAATTCAAAAAAAAAGAAATTAAGCCCGTTTACAAGGCTCCCATTATTCTCAATTTCGACATAAATATGGTTGAAAATTGAGCGAAAAAGGTAGGATTACGTGGAGCAAGGATTGATGAGAAACGATGGTTTCTGAAGAACTTCCGTTTTAGCAGCTTCTTTTTTAGGTAAATCAAAGAATAGCAGCTGTATATCCCGATATCTACCGCCTTGCTATTCTAACTTCCTAGCGCTATGTACGAGGATATTTCTAATAATGAAGAAAACGGCAAATGGGTCTTGTAGAGCGGAAAAAGCCCTTTCAAATGGCATATGCGGTTTTTCGGGTTGTACTTGCACCGATTAAATCTATACAATTTATACGCGCGAGTCGCTCGAAAACGCTACAATATTGTCCCAAGCGAATACAAGACAACTGGGGATAACGACAGTATTCATCGTATTCCACCCGATCAGCACATACAGTAGCGGTCAAAAGTGTTCGCCGAAACGGTTTTTCGTGCTTCCCTTTCCTTTTGCCAGAAAAAAAATCAATGGTGATTCGAAAACTTTTCTTTTGAATATCCTGATTCTTTAGACTTGAGGATATAAAAACACTAGAAAACATAGTATATCAATCTTTGGAGGGCGTTGCTCAAGCGAGAAAAAATAATGCACGAAAAATCGTTTCGGCGAACACTTTTGACCGCTACTGTATGTTCGGCCTAACTACCAACGTCATATACGAGACTTCCATTTGAACATTGGTATGGAAGTCGATCTGCGAGCGATGGTAGATTTAACCTGCCCGCAACTGGAGAAGATCTCATAAGCCGCGCAAGTGACTCGATGCACGCAGCCACTGCACTAAATTTTCCTCCTTGAGAAGGGTGTCAATTTTTCCACACAGAAACATGTTCCAACAAAGAAGTGAGAAATGATACTTTCAGAAAAAAAGAGAAACATTTCACCATCACACAACCGTGAACAGGTCTTCTTTCAGAAAAAAAAAACAATAAAACATGCTGATTAAGAACTCAGCCAATCAGAATGGTCTCAAACGGATTTTAGCGCTGTCAAAGAAAATTCCGCTTCGGAACGCCTCTGTTAACGATCCAAGTCCAACAATACCACATAAAATGCATGAATCACAAAGCAATTAGCCAAGCAAGTCACCAAAATACTACACAAATACCATTGTTGCGCCTCATGACGCAGCCACTTCACACAAACTACAAATCAACGGACGTATCATGCCAGTTTTTCCGAAGAAATAAAGATTCTCCAAAAAAATCGTACTTGTGAAAATCAATAACAAAAAAGGAAAAAAAAACCACACCTGGGCCGCGTTCAATCGCGTGCGACAGCGTGCTATAGTCGGAATGACGAAGCTCATCATATCTCGAGGCTGAAAACACTTGAAATATTTCGTTCGGAGAATGGTGAAAGTGTCCCAAATTCAATCGGGACATAAAAATGTTTGCTGGAGAATAAAAGATCGAGATCTTACCGATATTGTAACGTAATAAAGAAAAGGAGAAAATCACAAAACTGACTGAATGAAAATAAATTAATAGAGAGGAGAAAAATCGAGGGCGGAGGTGATATAGTGACACTGTCCCCTATAACGCGAGGGTCACTTTCCGGCTGTTTCATATTGCCCGAACCTTCATGCTTCCAGGATCGGTTGATGGTTTGAGACTATTGGGTTGATGCATAATTATTGCGAATTTTTTCAACAAATTTTGTTCAGCGTGAACATAAAAATATTTAACAAAAACATGTTTAAGTGTGATTCCTAAAAGCGTCGTTCACCACTCTCTCGAGGGATGGGGCTTCCATTTGCTTTGCTCAGTCAGTCGATTCAATGATGAAGAAGTACGATTCTTGGAGACGAAATCCACGCTCTAACATCGGAGCAACAGGTATTTCTAGCGTTCGTCGCTACATTCTCGTCGCTGCCAGTTTTTTCAAACACACTTGATTGAAGTTGTAAATCTGTAGAGCTTCTGTCGCTCTTTTTGCACCTCTTGGATCAGCTTTCAACCTGACTTTTTTGCCTACTGTTCCCTCGTCGAAAAGTTCGATGAGATCGTGAAATGACTGTGCCGCTTTCCTACCTTTCTCGATATTGTAGAGCATATATGGCGGATATGAAGATGATTTTCCATAAGCATTTCTGTCAATGAAAAGAGAGAGGAATATTTGCAAGAAAAAATAATAAACAAAACGCCAATCTTTTCGTAACAGAAGGCGCGAAAAAAATCCGCAATAATTACGCATCAACCCAATATTTAGGGAAGACAGGAACAGTGAACAGTCCTGCATGGCGTGGTACTGTATTGCCAGTCAGCATTTACCTCAATTCAAATATCACACGAGCCTGAGCTGAAGTAGAATGCGTGAAGTAGAAAAAGTAGAAGTAGAAAAGTAGAAAAGTAGAAAAAGTCTAGCCTACGTCGAACATTTTATATTTTTTTGGTAATTTAGAGGGAAAACTCAAAAAAAATTCTTATCGCAATTGAATTCCAACGGGCCATAAAGCAAGGCCATGGGAAAAACAAACTATCGCCAGTCACATAAAGGCACGAGAACGTTGAAAACGCTGAAAACTCCTATTCAGGGTGTAGCAAATCCCACCACATTCAATCTCCAAAACAGAAATAGTACAGCAGTTCAAAGCAAAACGCTCTGGTTGTCTGAGGTATACAACAGAACCCTTCAGCGTAAATCTTTTACTTATTGCTGGATAAAAATTGATCTTATGTCGTGAAAAACGCCTTCCCATAAAGGAGCGGATTCCCACTTCATTTGCAACGACTGACATTATTCGTAAAGCTTACAGAGCACAACGCTCAAGGCGAAAATTGAGAAATGGAACCTGAGTCAGTCAATAATAAGTTGAGACAAAGAGAAGTCACATTCATGTCACCCCCCCCCCCCTTAACCTCCTCCATTCTAGTGAAACTTCAGTAATTTCGAGAGTTTCACAGAGCTTCCCTTCCTTCAGGGAACTTTCGTCCTCTGGCCATCGCTGTAAAAAAACCTATTTCATCAAACACGACCTCCCTTGCTCGCCAGTAGCCAGAAGATGTTGAACCTGGCGAGAATATTAAATTCACAACTTCAGGTAGCAAAACTCCTCAGACTGCTCTCGAAGCAAGGAAAATCTGAGCTTTCCAAAAGAAGTAACATAAAATCGAAAAAAAAATTTAAAAAAAAAATGAATGTGAACATATCGGCAAAAGTGCATGAACGGTACAACCAACCAACCAAACCACCTTACACGTGCGATGCTTTCACACCGTCTTACAAACTTCACGCATATCGGCCGCATACGCAAATAGAAAAATGCGACACAAAACCGGCGCCGTATTTGTGAAAGCGGCCGAAACTGGCATTCCTGCGACCTTACTCTCATCCGAACCGGCGAATTGGTGAAGAATTCGACCAATACCCCAACGACATCCCAAGCAAGCAAACAAAGCATTGGGAAATTTGCCCTGATAAAAGACATCAGTTATCATCCCATTCAGTCGTGCTACGCCGATGATCAAAAATACTTTCAAAAATATCCTACTCAAGGATTATTTCAGGTTTCTCCGAGACTACCCCTACTTCTTTATGAGAGAAAATTTCCAAAACATTTCTTTTACGCCAGGAATTACCGGTTTATTCACATAGCTGAACCCAACTTCTTTTAGCCTATTAACAATGAAAGAGGCCAATACTTCAGGGATGAAAATAATTGATTCTTGAAAGATTGAGATATGGACAGATCCCTTGCACTGTGCACGAGTTCAAAAGAAGCATCTATCACAGTACACACTAAGATAGACTCCTGCCTACGGGAAATTCGACCAAAAACCTTCATGACCACAGTTCAGGGATCCAGACACCGACACCGTTCTCCGATTGATCGGGAGTCGCTGTATAAACAATTAGATGTGGCCTACCGCTGTCCACGTATTCACACCCACTATACACCGGAAACTGCCAACGATCTAGCCCAGCAAAAAGCCATTTAGTTATAACCTTCCCTCATTTACTACTGCTCCAGTATGAGTTCAGAACGGTCAACTGAGGTGAGTATACTGCTCCAGTATGAGCTCGAAAGAGTCAACTCAGACAAGTGTGGATACTGCCATCCAGTATGAGCTCAAGGCGTCAAATGAGGCGCGTAGTGGCTTCGAATTAGAGGAACCCCCGTTCCTTCAGTATGAGTGACATCGTGCGATCTAGAGCGCTTGCAATTCTTGAATCTCAGAAATTTAGTTGCAACACCATCGAACCCTAAGAAGTCTGCTCGGGTTGAGGGAGGAGGGCGGGGGAAAAAAGATATGCATATGTCAGAAATTGGAATCTCTAAATCTTTTTCAGGGTATACAAAGAACCATTCCCAAGTAAACCGGAAAAGAAAATCCCCTTTTGGAAAACACGACCCTTTCCCTGTGGCAATTACAAGATAAAGATCTCGCTAATTCGCAGGCACGACGGCTGAGTCAGATCCAAATTTTTCAGTTCAGATGCAGCATACTCCATTGCTCATACGATTTTTGTATGACCAGAGCTTCACTCGAATGGATTCAAATTCCGTATCAGAGAATCAAGGCCATGTAGAGAATATGTGCATTCCAGTAGTAAGAGGGAGTAAAAACTGAAACCCTCAAAAAACACAATGCACGCTAATGTACGGGCGCTCAGATAGAGCGCACCTTTTTTGTTGCTCAACCTACTACTTTCACCGTAATCAGGGACATTCCACCGTCCTTATCTTTACAAAAAAAAATCTTTTAATACCCGTTTCGCTCGTTTCCTTCCTTTGAATGTTTGTTGTTGTTCTTTGGTTATTTGAGCCAAGACATTTGTCTATTGCATGGGTGGTCAAGAAACGGTAGTTGGCGTAGAACATCACGTAAAGCGGATTTTCTTCATTTTCACGCGAAACAGCACACACCTGGCTCAACCCCGAGCGTGCCTTTCAAGAACTCCTCAAAAGGGTTTTCGCCTGGTATTAAAACCGTCATTTGCTCATTTTCGTTCAACCTGTTCTCTGTTTTCACAACCAGGCTTGACAGGCCAGATTCAAACTCTAGCGACCGCCACACAAAAAGGATAAAGGATAAAGCATTTGCCGTTGATCAATCCCTTTTGGGATGCGGCACGCATTCTACTTCCATTTGTACATTCGTAGTGGCGTTGAATGCGATGTGGCCTATACAATGACTTGCGGGGGCCAGCCGATGTACAAGTCAGTGTTTTTATCCTCCCAGACAAGTCTGGTACCAATTAACCGACCCCGGAGGGATGGAAGGCTTGGTTGGGGCGACTCACGACCCAGGATTTGATCCCGGACCGCTCGCGTGGTGAGCGTGCCACTTGCCACTACACCACTTCCGCCCATAGCCAGCACAAATGGTTGCATTAGGGATATAAGGGTAAATTCAGCCTCCACAGTGGCTTGAGGATCACTGGGCCAAGCCCAATTCGCACCGCTTCACCAACCTAAGCACCGACAGGTTTCCTTGGCCTGAACTTAGTCTATTCCACATACTGCGAAAAAAGCAGCGGAGCTTTTGCCAGCCTTTTCCATCTAACAGACCCAACAAAATTACAAGCGCTTTAAAATCCAAGCTGCTTATCACCATTCATCTTCCCAACGAAAGCAACAGTTTCCCGCTTCCCATCAAAGCTGGACTAAAAAAAACCTATTTACACTCATTTTCAACCGAAGTATCGGGGAAAATTGTCTCCCTTCCCTTCGTATTACATTCCCATCGTCTGCTTTCACTTGTTCAGAGGCGTTTCTCGCGATCTCACACTGCTGACTAATAATAACCCCTCAGATGCTTTAGAACGTCAGCGCACGCTGGGAATTTCCCACCTCACCTTAACCATGGTTCGCTGCGTGGCCATTATGGGGCTAACTATGGTTCTCTGTGCGGTCATTATAGAGCGGAGGTATCGAGGAACGTTTTGCCAGATCCTCTTTTCAAGAGAAATGATGAAAAACCTTCCGAAACTGAATCGGGAATAAAAACCACGAAACTTGAACCCTCGAGATCAGTGGTACGCTGACATCGTCGGGCAGGAACAAACAGCATATGTACCGAGTTCCGCACTACGTAAACATTTCAGTGAGAAAGGACAAGAGATTGTGAAGAGCCACTTGCGAGGGTCAGTGCCGTCTCGAGAGAGCTTAAGCCAGCTTATATGCCCAAGCTCTACGCCAAACATTCGCAAAACTACGCCTACAGTATCTGAATCAAAACTCAAAGAACTTGGCTCTCTTTGTATCGGATATCGCCAAAAGTTAAGTTGAAAATGAGTTCTTCTAAGTGAATAAAGTGCAGAACATTCAAAAATCAAAAAACGAGGGAAAAATGATAAAAATTAGCCATATTTCGGCATATAAGCATCTACAAACCTCGTAGAATCTGTACAAAGTACCTAAGCATTCAAGTCAGAAGCCCAAGAAAATCACAGTCATAACAGTTCGCCAAGGATTTCTACACCAAGAAATTCAGAAAATTTCAGGTATTACGTAGATACTTATGAGATTACCCTCTCTACTTCCCTCTTATTTTTATTCGATTTTTCAAAGAAAAAACAAAAGCATTTCCGGCCCGATTAAAAAGTTTTACCCATAGGCAGGCAAGTTGTCTGGGCAAGAAATACAAACGCCTACATCTTATCTGAGCTCATCTGAGCACTACACAATATCTCTCAATTTTCATAAAGGTGCCCCGACAATGAGCGGAGATGGTGCACACGCAAATAGCGTCACTAAAGCTGAACACGGTCAGAAGGTCAAAGCAAGGACCAAGTTTTCGCTTAAGAGAAGCAGCCATCCATTGCTATGGGGTCGATTAGTTACTGCCAGTCTAGTTTCAAAGACAAAAACACGGACATGAGCATTAAACGGGCCCGTGTCTCACTGCTAGGTCAAATCGCATTCAAATGCCAGTGCGACTCTGAATGAGAGCAGAGCGCGTGGATCAGTAAACACCAAAATTAATATCAACACTAACAAGGAAATAAGAGAACTAGGCAGTTAAGCCCAACAGAACCCGAAAATGATTATAATTTATCGGGAGGAAACTTCGCAGTAGTAGCTCACCCGTCAGACTAACTAAGCCTTCCGTTATCAAAATGTCTCCTTTGTTGCTTAGCTACTATAGATTTTAAAGTGTAATATGAATGAGACGTTTTGGAAAGAAAGCCAATAACTGCTAACGAAGTAGACTTTTATGATTTTGCTAAGAATGTGCGGAAATCAGAGCAGCAATGAAGAGCAAAGTCAACAATGAGAGCTTTAAGCACTGAGCAGTGTCATGCGTAAAGTATTATAGAATACTGTACCTTAAGAAGAGTATCGAATAAATGTTGGAAGTTGTGAGACGACAACAATATTTCTGAGAGGCTTCTAGCACGGTCTGCCCTCTCCACTCGATAGCGGTCGCAAGGGTTTGAGAGGACCGTGCCAAAGACTCGAATTCACAAAACGTTGTAAAAATGTGAAGCTTTCGATGTTCCCC